TTAAAAGTTTACAAGTTAAATTGAAAGTTGTATTTCTGTTTCTAATCTAAAAGATCAACGTTCATTGAAAAATCATACCAACAATTAGTTTCTCTTTTTATCCCTATGATTTCAACTTGTGAAATTAGAGTTAGTCTAACTTTAATTATTAATGCCAAAGACTTAATTAGACCACTAATCTCCTACACGTCATCCTCCATGTAGGCCACCTATGTTTGCCTCCTGTCGCCAAGTCAGTCATCATTATACTATATTAAATTAATTAATGTGATTAGTCATAAGCACAATTTTGAGGTTGTGTCATGGAATTTTGAGAAAAATCAGAAAATACTAGAATTAATTAAGTAGATATGTCTAATGACAATTTGGTTTGTCCTTATATAGCCATCAGAATCAATAATCATGCTTATGCAAATCTTGACTAAAATGCCACCTTCTTTCGTTATATATTTAAGTAATTATTTAGTTTCTTTGAATTTGTATTTAGACGTGAGATTTTATTAATACTTACTACATATGTTTATGACTATAATGTTGGACTCTAAGCTCTTAGCTTTTTGCAAAATAACGACAAAGGCCATTTAAAATTTAAAAATAACTTGTTTTGTCAAACATTTTGAAAATAGAACTTAGTTACTACTATTATTTTCACTAAACCATTTCAAATTTTTTTTTCTAAAAAAAAATCTTTTGGTATTCGGAATCATATTGGAATTTTGATTAAATTTAGATCGTACACTGTAGCGCTCATTCGGAGGTAACGCTCCCAACAAGATTTTCTTCATACCCAAAGCTCAAACTCAAGACCGCTAATTAAGGGTAAGACAGTTTCACCACTACACCACAACCCATATCGGTACAAAACCATTTCAATTCAATGATTCTTGTTTCCATTTGATTTTCATTGTAATCATTCTGGATATATACTTCAAGTTTGACTAAAAAGTTATATAGATTCCAATCATCTGTCTAGGAAACTATGATCCAAGTCATAATACTAATGACAGAGTCATAATTTTCATCAAAGATACTCAAGAAAAATCATTATTACATATATAATTTTAGTTATATATGTACTATATAATTGTTTTTTGGAGAGAGGAGAATTTAAATGAACCTCTTGTGCCGCGCCTTCTGATATATTCACCCTGTGTAATAGATGATGTGGTTGTTAATTAAGTGTTAACTTTGAATGTAATTAGGGTTGTCAAATCAAGAGATCTCTAGCTCCCACCAATAATCGTAATATCATTTGAATTGACAACATTCTACCACATTCATTTAACTTTTTGTAGTTGCTTCCAATTAATACGATGACCTTTTTTTTTAGTGATCATGACTGATTAACTTTTTGTCCTTTATTAAGAAAATTTTACCATTGTTGACTCTTGATATCTGAATATTCATAATTTATATTAATTTAAAAATTAATAAATATAAAATTAATTAAATATCATTTTCACAAAATATATTAGAGAAAACTGTGACCGTAGAGATGGTTGGTAGCGGTGATTGTTTGATAAAAGTTGACTTTTGATACATTAGTTTCAAAAGTATTTCTTTCTTAAATTGAATGTTGAATCAAATACATCATATAAATTGAAACGGATGAAGTAATAAGTGGTCCGAAAACCGACCAACTACGCTACTTTTTACCAAAACAATAGGTCCTCAAAAGTAAAGCCCAATAAAAAAAACTACTGGCCCATTTACAAATTCACCTAACAGCCCATTTAGTATAAGAAATCCAATGTAGTAGTTCCAATTTTTATTCTTTATTTAAAAGATCCAATAGGGAAAAAACTTGCCCGCACCTGGTGTATACACCAAACTAATGCAATTTTCATTATTACATGATTTAATGAAGTAAAACACATATTAATTAATTATGGTTAAGTAAAATGAACTATAAATTTAAACGCATGCCATGCATGTACTGACTTGATGTATACACCCGGTGCAGGTAAGTTTTACCCATCCAATAGGGTTTTAGCCTTTTTAGAGATTTTACCAAGAATGAGAAAATAGTCTTTTAACTATATATTTATCGAATTTAGTCTTTTAACTATTCAAAATGTTATCAAGTTTGGTCCCTTAACTAAACATTTACCGTTTTTAGTTTCTTAACTGTACACTTACCGATTTTAGTTCTTTGAGCATTCAAAAACTTATCATGTTTGATTTTTGTCTATTTTTCATACAAATAGCTTAGGTTAATATTAATGGAACTCATGTCTCCGTAAAATTATATATTTAACCTATTTTTCTAATTGTTTCTCTCTTCTCTATTTTTTCTTCAAATTACTTTTATTAAAGAACCCTATCCTGATTTTATTCAATGGAGAATAAAATTAAGCATATTATTATCGCTAATGACATGAATATGGTATGTTCCCTTCTTTAGCGGTTAACGGTTCATAATCAATGTGGATTTTTTAGATTTTTCTTTATTTTTCATAGAAAAGAAAGTAAAGCCCAATAGAAAAACTACTTGGTCCATTTGCAAAATCACCTATCAGCCCATTTAGTATTAGAAATCCAAATTTTAATTTTCTTGAAAAGATCTAAGTAGGGTTTTAGCCCTTTTTAGGGGTTTTACCAAGACTCAACGAATCACTGAAAATCCAGATAAGGTGTCAAAACATCCACAAAATTTCTTATAGATGTATTTTCATTGAAGTTCCAAATCCAAACTCTTTGGCCATGGCTGCAAAATTCTCTACTGGTTTAGACATCCATTGCAGCATACCTTACACTTCAGACACAAAGCTTCTTTATGGTTCATCTTCTTCTTCCACCAAATCATCAAGATTGTCCCTGAAAAGATTCACTATTCTTTGCAATTCCACTTCAAAATCTCCAAAACCAAATCTTGATTTAGATTCTTCAAGAAAAAAACCCTCTCTTTCTGAACAACTAAAGCCACTTTCCAACACCATTCTTGATGACCCACCAAACCAAGCAAGAATTCTTTCTAAGCCAAAGTCAACTTGGGTAAACCCCACAAGGCCTAAACCTTCTGTTTTGTCTTTACAGAGGCAGAAAAGGTCTTCTTACTCTTACAATCCTCAAATTAGAGACCTTAAGAATTTTGCTAGGAGGTTAAGTGAGTCTCATTTCTCTGATGATGCTTTCTTGGCTGTTCTTGAAGATATCCCACATCCACCCACTAGAGATAATGCTTTGTTGGTGCTTAATAGTTTGAGGCCATGGCAAAAGACTATTTTTTTCTTCAATTGGATCAAGACTAGGAATTTGTTTCCTCTTGAAACTATCTTTTATAATGTTGCTATGAAGTCTTTGAGGTTTGGGAGGCAGTTTCAGCAGATTGAGGAATTAGCTTTTGAGATGATTGAAAGTGGGATTGAGCTGGATAACATTACTTATTCGACTATTATTACTTGTGCTAAAAGGTGTAATCTTTTTGATAAGGCAGTTGAGTGGTTTGAGAGGATGTATAAGACTGGTTTGATGCCTGATGAAGTTACTTATTCTGCTGTTTTGGATGTGTATGCTCAGTTGGGGAAGGTTGAGGAGGTGATGAGCTTGTATGAGAGAGGGAGGGCTAGTGGATGGACTCCAGACCCCGTTGCATTTGCTGTGTTGGCTAAAGTGTTTGGTGCAGCTGGGGATTATGATGGTATTAGGTTTGTGTTGCAAGAAATGAAGGCACTTGAAGTGCAGCCTAATTTGGTTGTGTATAATACATTGTTAGAGGCAATGGGTAAGGCTGGGAAGCCTGGTTTGGCAAGGAGTCTGTTTGAGGAAATGGTGGATTCAGGGCTTACCCCGGATGCGAAGACGTTAACAGCATTGATCAAGATTTATGGGAAGGCAAGGTGGGCTAGAGATGCTTTGGATCTTTGGGAAAGAATGAAGTCTAATGGATGGCCTATGGACTTCATTTTGTACAATACATTGTTGAGTATGTGTGCAGATCTTGGGTTGGAGGAAGAGGCCGAGACGTTGTTTCATGATATGAGGAAGTCGGATAATTGTAGACTTGATAGCTGGAGCTATACAGCAATGCTGAACATATATGGAAGCGTAGGAAATGCAGAGAAAGCTATGGCTTTGTTTGAGGAAATGTCTAGAGTAGGTATCGAGCTTAACGTTATGGGATGCACTTGTTTGGTTCAGTGCTTTGGTAGAGCACAGAGGATAGATGATTTGGTTAAGGTGTTTGAAGTCTCAGTACAAAGAGGAGTCAAGCCAGATGACAGACTTTGTGGATGCTTACTCTCAGTTGTGTCCTATTGCAAGGGCGACGATGCAGATAAGGTCCTTGCTTGTCTACAACAAGCTAACCCAAGATTGGTAACCTTTGTCAAGATGTTAGAAGATGAGAGCACTAGCTATGACATTGTGAAAGAAGAGTTCAGGTCCATACTGACTAATACATCAGATGATGCTAGAAGGCCCTTCTGTAATTGTCTAATTGATATATGCAGAAAGAGAAATCTCGCAGAGAGGGCTCACGAGCTTCTGTACTTGGGAACTGTATATGGACTATACCCAGGTTTACATACTAAGACACCAGAAGAATGGCGATTGAACGTACGAGCACTATCTGTTGGTGCAGCTCAAACTGCATTTGAAGAATGGATGAGAACACTAGCTAAGATTGTGCAGAGTGAAGAGCCCTTGCCTGAAGTGTTATCAGCAAACACAGGAGCTGGTACTCACAAGTTCTCACAGGGTTTGGCAAATGCCTTTGCTTCTCATGTGGAGAAGCTTGCTGCTCCTTTCAAACAGAGTGAGGAGAAGGCTGGTTTCTTCATCGCGACTCGTGAAGATGTAGTGTCATGGGTCCAATCAAAGGCAGCTGCAACTGCATAAATCATATTTTTTTTACTTAGGATTGTGCCTTTAATTAAACTTGATTGATCATTGATGTACTTTGGGTAAACTGAATAATTATGATAAAGTACTGAAGTTATATGCATAAAGATTTTCTTTTGCCAATGCCCCATTTGTAAGATGAACTTTTACACAAGGAGGATATAAACAACATTTCTCTCTTCTGTAAGTGGAAATCCACCTCCAAAATACATAGATTCTCTCGCCTAAAGCTCTGTAACTAAACCACCAACCTGATTACAAACATTTCTTTGGGCTCTAAAAAAGTAGAGATGAAGGGGGACAAAAAAAGAAGAAAAAAGAAAATGAACTTGAATGAATGAAAGTATCCTCTATGCAAAATCTAGAAAAGAAAATGAATAAAAAGATCCTGTTTCTTTCTTCTACATAAGTTCTCTACTTTCAGTGTAGCGAATGCGTTACACTGAGCCTTCCCCGATATGTAGCACTAGTTTAGGCTGTTTGTCAAGAGGATAAGCAGACCACTGTGCATATGTTGACTTCAAATGATCCTCAAAACTCCAATCCTGGTGATCCGGGGGAACCACCATGGCTCCTCAAGAAACTGGGAGATTACCCAGCTTCCCCACTTATCCCAAGATCTCAACTCGGGATCAAAACGGCAGCAGCATTACACATGGATATCATTGCTGCACAGATGCCACCAGTTGTAAAAACTCAGAGGTATTTCCCTGACGACTTCCAAATTCTTCCTTCAAGAGATATCACCATAACAGTAACATCATCATGGTACTTCCTGCGGTCTCCTTGAGGGATATCCAGCAATTCATGCAATTCCATTCCTGCAGACGAAATTAAATCTGCTTGAGAACAGGTATCTGGCATGTCATAACCAGAAAAAAAAAATCATATAGAAGGTCCACCATAAGATAACCATGAAACCAAGGTTCTCCGTATTTAAAATAGACTTTTTTTTATTGGTTATAAAATCCTACAAGTAGAATGAAGCTGCCAAGAATACTATTGTGAAAAACGGAGCCTAAGAAAAATATTAGTCTTCATATTCTAGTCATACACTCATACAAAGCTTAGATAAGCATGTCATTGATCGTGTCCCAGAAACCCAAGAGTGCACACAGTTGATATGTGAAAGATGACTAAGATCACAACCATAGCATGCCCATGAAAATAACTGCACTTAACCTACAACAATGCAACATATTCAAAACATGCATTTTTTTTAAAAAGACAAGGATGAAGGAAATTTCTAACAGAATGCTCCGTGAGCAGGGAGCATGCATTCTTTTTTATCCAAAAAAAAATGCAGAGGAGAAGAGAATTCTAAACAACTGCATAGCAAACACAGTCACAAAAGCCAATATAATACTCAAGCTTCTTAAATTTCCAAAAACAGCTAGACCATTCGCAGCAGAAGGAAAGGAAGGATAAAATCAATTAGTGTACTAATAACACAAAATCAAGAATATAGTTTACTTGATCCCTTGTAATCACTAACAATCAGTTTTAAAGAAGAAAAAATCAAACTCTTTTTTATAGCAAAAAAAGGCCCAACAACGCTTCCTTAAAACTCAAGAACTGAGTTGCAAACTTATCATTTTGAACACTTCAGAAAACGCAACCTAAAAGACCAGTACACAACTGCAAAAGTTGCAGAATGCAAGTGCAAAGGAAAAGGATAGAACTTCCCAGGCCTGAAATTGATTTATTTCTAACTATGCCTGGACTATTTAGCAGAAGTTATGAGTTTTGGCTTTTCTCCATGGGGTAAGGAGCAAAAATTGATGCAGCGAGTTGTCTATGAGAACCAAAAATTATGAGACTGCATTGGCAGATAAAATTCTCATAGCAAAAACTCCAGTGGCTCAGAAATATATAAACATCACGACCTCCAATGCATAGCAAGGTCGGAAAATTACCAAAACGAAAGGCTAGTTTACCTCTACCCCCAACAGGAAGACTAGACAGAAAACTTACCAGCTTTCCTGGCTGCACGGAACAAAAGCTCCTCAATCAGGTGTTGAGCAGGATCCCCATCTGGAAATTTCTCCATGAAATTCTCAACATGAGAGACCACCTCCTCATTGCTCAAGTCTTGGTATAAGCCATCAGAGGAGAGCACCAAAAACTGATCCCCTGGACAGAGTCTATGGTGGCGCAACGAAGGTGTACAAGAAACATAAGGAGCATTGCCAATGTACACATTCCGAAACATTTCTAGCAATACATCGTTGAATTTAGGCTGCACGAACATATATTCAAAATGTTAGGGGGACTAGCAACAAAAATGTTTTAAAATGTATGTAGCTCTTCAATTGTGCATCCAAAGAAGTACATCAAATATGCAACAAATCATTCAAGTCTCCACATTAAAATGCAGTCAAAAAATAGAAAGATATGTATCATACAGAACACAGGACAAATGAATGTAGTTGCACAAGATGGCAATATGTCAAAGAGGGAATTCTGTATCCAAGTTTAAGCAAAAATGAGACTTCAAACTGTGAAATTTGATGCAAAGGAGAAGATTTTGGGATTAGGTGCCAGAATGAAGAATGAGAAGTGAAAGACCAACCTGTTTGAGGAAGCCTGCACCAAAGGCACGAGTGACCTTCAAACGACCTTTTACCCGACCATTGACAATGCAATTGCTGTCATCTGGGTGCTCACTCTTAATTCTAATAACTTCCTGAAATTATCAGAGAAAGATATCAATTTAAGAACCAGTTCTTGTAAAAATATAAGAAGAACAACATATGCTATAAGCAATAGCAAGTAATATTATAGTAAACAGCATAAGAAGACTAGTTTCATCATTAATGTCTTGTAACCGTAAAATATACATAGCACAACAAAGTCGAACAAAAAACATACACATCATAGCAGGCAGGTAAAGGGAGAAGTCACCATACTCACTTTTAAATATATGTGAAGAATACTAGGAAAGATAGCCTGAAGAACCAGACTCTATAAAAGCAAACCATCTTGCTCCCTATCTGCAAACCTTGTATGCTGTATTAATAACTTAGCAGGATCAGCATGCAAGCCAACTTTCACGTGATTGCATCAACAGGTCTATTCATTTGTGTACACTGTACAACAGATGAGGACTTCCCAGGGGGTAACCCAGGGGGTAACCCATTCTAGTACTAATCTCGCTCAAGCACAACTATTGTACAACAGATGCTCTCTAATTAAGTCGCACAAACACATGCTGGTTTTCTTGAACAGGAGTTCTCCTTTTAGTCCTTTAGACTCTTTTTTAGTAGCTTTTAAGTTTTCATATTAGTTAATTTGTATTGTTCCACAAGTAGATCAGTAGAGATTCACCATAAAATTGTTCGTAAAACTTGAAGGTACATTCTGCAAACTGCTTCAATTCCAGATAAAGGAGTAATTTCTATAATGTAACAGTAAACCCTGAAGCAGAGCCCTTGTAGTTCACTATGGCCGTCCCTTAAGAGCTGCAGACACTAAAGCTAATTTACGCTGCTTTCAAGCCATCACAAATAATTCATTAAATTTGAAATAGTGGTTTATCTTCAGACTCGAAGGATAAAAAGTTGATTAAAAACCTAAATCCTAAACTATGCTCTCAATGTTATTGCTTAAATCAGCAGAAAGACATAGCCATACTGCTTTGAAGTAAATTGCCGGTAGTAGAGATTATATCAGTAAACGCACAAATGAAACTTGACCCAATTTGGAATTCGCAAGAGGGTATCTAGACTTCTTGTTCAGCATTTAACATGGTCAATGTACACATACTGGTTAATTTTCCAGCATCCCTAATCCTTTGTCTTCTTCCTAGTATGACAACTAGGCATTAGCTGGTCTCAAAATGCAAAGTACTGGCTTCTTTAACATCAATTTATTATCATTAGAATGACAAAAATAAAAAAGCAGCACATGAAAAGAAACCACCCTAGTTATGCAGGCAATTTAGACCAACTATAAGCATCAGATTAAAAAAGTTCCCCTACATTGACACCAAGCAAGTTGTTCTAGCCATATAAAACTGGACACTCATATTCACATAATCTAAGATCGCAGAAATAGTAGCTAGTAATGGTCATCTCAGAGTCAAGGTGATCTAAACTCCGATTGATGGTCACTGGATGTAATCTATAACAAGTGGTACAGCCAATATCTTTGAGATAAGTGACTGTAAATGTGGTTTATGATAACTAGTTCATTAAACAATCTGCTGAGTTGGTATGCTACAACTTCAAATTGATCATCACTTGATTCAGTTTATAACAAGTGGTATGGCTAATATCTTAGAGGCAAGTGGGATAGATGTGGTTTACAATAACTAATTCATTAAACAATCTGTTGAGGTGGTTAGCAGAAACTTTAATTGTACCTAATTGGAAAAGAAAAGTGAATAGCACTTGAAGAAGAAGTCAACAGAAGTCTTCATCAAATGGGTATACCAGCAAACCTTCCTAACATTTAAGAGTTGAATACACTTAGATCAAGAATTAGTGACCAACAAGATAACAATAAGGCAGACAGATGCATAATATATCTCTACAGTTGCAACAAACCAGCCTTCAAAGTTCCTATTTGGAAACATATCCAAGTGAAATTGTATCGCCACTACATTAAATCAACCAACTTTCTTCAAAAGACAACTGCACATTAAATCTCAGACATTTAATCAAGCATCATAAGTAACTGACAAGGGACCAAGGAACCTTACTTCTTCAATATTAGTGCTGTGATCAGTGGATAATTGCAATGCAGTCAGCTTCATACCCTGAACAGGTACCTCATTTGTCACCTTATTCTCCTCATTGCAGGCACTTGTTGTTTCTTCAACAATGCCCTCAACAGTCAACCCGCCATTACGTGGACCTTTGGATTCTGAAGTAGAACTAACCTCCTCAGGCTCATATTTTGCCACAATAGCACGACTATCTCCTACGTTCATTACATACACATCTTCATCTCTCATTAAAGCAACCAACAAACAAGACCCCATAAGTGCTAGCTCCGGATATCGATCAAGAACTCTATCAGTCATATCCAAGTACGCTAACTCAGTAACTTCAAGAGCCCTGGACATTGCCCTCAAAACCAACTCATGATCAACTGGACCCGTCTTTCGCCTCTTCTCATTTCTACTAGTCCTTTCCTCCTCAACTCTATTCTCCTCCTCAACTTTCTCCTTAGTTTCCAATCCAAATTTCCATGGGAATAATTTCTTACTCTCTTTGTGCTTACTTAACAATCCATGTTTCAATTTCGACAACAGCAACGACCTCCTATTCACTGCTGAACCAGCATTATTTACACTTAATGCATCGTCTACTGAAAATGCAAATCTATCTGAACCCGAAAGATCAAGCCCATCTTCTGGATCCTCTTCTGCTAAAAATTCCCACAATCTCCTCCTCCTAACTTCTATCTCCCCTGACTCAAAAGTCACCTTCTTTGACGGCCTTCTATCCACCTGCTGCAAATTCACCTCACTTTCACCTTCTTCTACTCCATCAACCCTGCTATTAGTTGCCCCCGGTACTATATTAGAATCAGGTATGCTAGAATTCGCAGCAATCACTTCGCTTTCTGAACTTGGATTTGCCCCTTCTGGATTACTAGTATCTTCACTATCCCAAAATAAACCCTCCAATTCTTTATACATAGCTTTGTATAGATTACTCATCAAAAACTCCGGGGCATCAGGGCCATTAAAACCATCATAAATTCCAACAAATAGCCATCCATGCTCTTCCGATACAACCACATGCACACGATCCTCCCCGGCTTTACCCAATGCCCATTGAACATTGGATTCGCTGCCCATATCCGAATCATGTGTACAGTCCCCGGCGGCCGGAATGTCCTTTCTGCCGCTGACAAAGTTTCTCACCGGTACTACCCACGGCCGTTTCTTCCCGGAGAAATTCCTGTAGAAGGCTTTTTTAATTCCCGAAATGCCCTTTTTCCTCCTCTTTTTAACATAAACTCCACCCAGTGGAGCAGAGAACGGAACCCGGTTACCTCCGCCGCCGCCGTCTGAACCGGCGGTAGCATCAAGCGGTCCAGATAGTGCCCCACGTTCGATCGGACCAGACATGAAAAAGGCCCTCTCCATTGGACCGGACGGTTCACCGCTAACTCCGCCTCGAGGTACCGGCTGAAGCGGCAAAGCACTAAACGACGACGTACTCTCGAAACCATTTACAACACTGCCCCTAACATTATTACCGCCATTAAAACCCACAAGACCACCACCAGCATCATTTCCAGTGGCATCATCGTAAAAATTGTCAAGTTGAAGGACAGTTCTGGGAGTAGAAGTGTTAGCACTGACAGAAGCTCCAGAAATGGCACGAAACCCAGTTTCCGATGGACCAAGCTGCCTCGACCTCAGAGGAGCTGGTTCATCAAACCGTAACGACTGAGAAGGTGAAACAAATCGATCTGAGTGAGTGGGAGATACAAACCTCGCAGATGACCTCACATAACAGAAGGAATGGCCGAGGGTTTCATCAAGCGGTTCACCGGCGGTGAAGATCACCTCCGTTTCACCCCGGTTCACCGCCGGGTTAAAACACGGAAACAGCTGCGAAAACCCTCCTCCCATCACATTCGATTCATTTCCCCTCCCCCCACCCCCGAAACTCTATACACACAAATTTATCAATATCTGTCAAGTGTTTCAAACTTTCACAACCGATATTCCAACCCCAGAAACCAAAAAGAAAAAATAAATCTAACCAGAAAAAAAAAAACCTGGGTTTTGTAGAACTAGCTAAAGGGTACAAGAATTGTTTAAGTTCTTCGGTTTTGGTTTTTGAAAGAGAGAGATATATAGTGAGAGAAAATGAGGTTTAGAGAGAGAAAGAAAGAGTAGAGTAGTTTTTTTTTTGTACTACTGTTTTTGCGGGCTGATGAAGTTAAAAAGGAATATAATTTGAAAAAAAAAGACCAAAAAAAGAAAAGAAGATGAAGACACCTATGTTTTGTTCACGGCCGAATCAGAATTTTCGTAACACTTTTATAGAAAAATATTGAACATGAACTTGACATAAATTATTAATTTCATCTTTGAATTATTGACATCCTTAAAAATAACTTTCTAGTTGATGAACTAAACTTAGATATATCTCACAAATTTTTGCAGGAGCATAAAAAATTTCATAAAAAATCGAGAAATTTTTTGAAAATTCTCCTAAATTTGGTGAGAATTTAGAAGTGATAAGGTTATCAATAGTTTAAGAATGAAATTAATAATTCATTTGCAAATTTAAAAATGTTTTCAATACTTTTCTCTACTCTATAATTATTTATCACGCTAATTTGAACAAACCTCTCGATCTTACCTAACTCCGCCTCGATGATCCTAGTAGACCAAAAAAATTAGAATAGAGGGCTATATTTTACGTTTTTTATTTTTTATTAGGAAAAAGTTAGAGGTGACCTGGCAAATGGAATCCACGTAGGCAGCCAGGTGGGAAATTTAAGGGGAAATGACGATAAGGGGTATGTGAAAATGGAAGAATAACGGATGTAGACAGGAGAAGGTGTGAGTTTAAAGAAAGGAGGAGTAGGGTCAAGGTGGGGAATTGAGGGACATTTATGGAGTGCTTTTGTCTTTATCGTTGTTTTTTGGGTGACTGAATCTGACTATTGGGTTTTCTTTTGTATTTTTTTGTTTTATAAAAATAATAAAATCCCAAAGGTCAAGTCCAAATTCATACTCTTTTTAGTCGATATCATCTATGTAAAATTAAACAATGAGTTGTACTCATACTCTTAATGACTATTTTACCCTTTTTAGATTTTTATTAATCATTTTTATCGTAGATTTTGGATTAAATTGTAAAAATTTGTCTCGGGATTTTTAAAATTTAATTAGAGAGTTTTTTTATATAAAATATAAATTTATGGTTATAAAAAAAAATGATGATTTATAAATCATTGAAACTAGTACTTTAATTAAAGATTACAAGTAATTCTTCAACTTTTAGAAATACGAGGAATATTACAAAATTAAGATAAAGAGAATTAATTATTCAAATACTACTAAAACAAATGTTTGCTTGGGGGTTTGTATAATATTGGGAAGTCCCACCAAGGACTTTAGGGAATAGTAGTCAAACAAACACACTTTAATTAATAATTTTATAGACCAACATATTTTTTATTTATTTTTATTTAAATAAATGAAAAGAAAAGGCAAAGTTTGCATGTGAAGGCGGGAAAAAAGGGTAATGAATTAGAAGAAATATTTTTTATTTTGTTTTGTTTTGTTTTAATCAAAAAAATAAAATAAAATGTGTGCAGAGAAAGTCAAATGAGTTTGTTGGTAGCAAGGAATTTCTTTAAGAGGGAAAAAGGACAAGGCAGCATCTTATTGTCACAAGCTCTGTGTGAACCAAAATTTTGTTAAATTTGGAAGCTAGTTACCCCTTTTATAAATTCATAAAAAAATTTTAAAAAAAAAAACTTTAGAAGACACAATTTTCGGACCTGTTTAATAATGAGAATTTTCAAAAAAAAAAATTACTTATTTGAATTTTAATATTTAGTTACAAAATATTCAAATATAATTTAAAGTTGGGTTTGAAATTTGAAAAATACTCAATATTTTGTTATCACTTTTTTTACCACTACCTTGTGGACAGGGGCGGACCCATGTGGCTTTCAAGGGTTCACCCGAACCCCCTCGGCAAAAAATTACATTGTATATATAAGGTAAATTTTTTGTATTTTTGTAGATACATATATATATATATATATATATATATTGAACCCTCTTAATAACAAGAAGAAATTGATGGTGCAGTGGCAAGTCCCTCTGGAATTAAGCTTCACGTCTCTTGTTTGAATCCCTCTGAAAGCGTTTTATTTTTTTTATTTTTTTGTTTCAATTTTTTTATTTATTTTAAATTTTCAGTTCTGTTTTTCAAGTTTTTTTATTTATTTTAAAAAACGTGCTAAAAGTGTGGTTTTAAACCCAAATGAATTTAAGGGTCCCATTTCTAAAGGCTTATTTACACATTTATACTTTTATTTTTCGAACTCCCTGAACGAAAATCCTGAGTCCGCCACTGCTTGTGGAGGTTGAGAGGTGTTTTCGAAAGACGATCAACTCAAGTGTAACAAACTCAAGTAAAAGAAGAAGAGAACAATGGAGAAAACATAAAAAAAAAAAAATAACAACAAAATAGTGTAATGATCGAAATGTAATAATAACATATGAGAAGAACTATAAGAACGCGACTAATTCTATGAAAGGTACTACCTCTACTACTATTTGAATTATTCTTTCAACAAATTATAAGTGTCAACTAATAAGATGGAGATTAAATAATTCATCAAGGATAAGTTAATGATATTTTCATATAAATAATAAAGTAAAATACAAATATTAAAGTATATTTATTGGACCAAAGTACACTAATTGAGTTTTTATGCCTTCCTAATTTTAGTCAATAGCATGCACAATGAAATCTACCTTAGTTAGATATAGACAATTTGGAAACGGCAAGGCCAAATTAATTAAAAAAAAGAAAAATGGAAGACTCTCTAAATTCCAAATTACTACTTGATTATTTCAACACGTCTTGCTTATTTTCAAACCATAAAATTAGGTTCTAATTGTTGATGAAAATTCGTCGAAATGTGTCTACAAGTGAGTAAACCACTTGGAGAAAACAATAAGTTTATACCTATGAAATTTGATATGAAATTTGGGCTAATTTAACCCTAAAAACTGATTTGAAGAAGGAAAGATTGTCCAATTTCATATATGGAAGCTCGTAGGTCCTTTCATCACCTATGTGGATTCATTCATCCCACCCCCACACACCCGACTTTGTCAGGTCCCAGGGTTAGGGTATGCACGTCTGGACAGTATTGTCTGATCCCCTTAAGGCATGGATAATTTACCTGAGGATCCAACATTGAGATGTTTGTGTAACATCTCACACCTAGATACGACTAGAAAGAGTTTAAAATCTGAAAATAATGATTTTTGGAAAGAATAAGGAAATCTGGAAAATTGTCTAAGTTAAGAAAGTGAGTTTTGGCCATTTTCAAACGGCCATAACTCCTAGCTCAGGATGATTTAGGAGCAGTTGTTGATATAGTTGGAAATCCCTTGGAGAGATCTTTCCAACGCCGCCGAGTTTGCGCGATTTCGACATCGTATGAGTGAGATATGCCTTTCAGAAGTTGGGTTGTTGGATTGAGGAAAGTCCCAATCCGGATTTAGGGAAGGGCAAAGTAGTCTTTTCTCTAATTTATTTCCTAATTCATCTTTAGGGATTTATTGGGGTAAAAACAGAACTTAATTCAGTTTTGAAAAATTAGAATACGCTTAGGGCATGGAGAAGAGAGAAAGAAAGAAAGAACGGGAGAAGAAGGCAAGAATTCACCAAGATCATCCAAGCTTGCGAGTGGAATTCGTCGAGGGTGATCCCTATTAAGGTATGTGAGATATTTTCGTGATGGGTTAGTTCACCCACACTTCTAACTTATTTATATTCAGAGAATGGTTGTTGATTGAATGAAAAGTTAGTGAGTTCTTGAAGAACTTTGTTGAAATTCGTTAAGTTCTTGTTGGTTGAGTTGTTGATGCTTGGGGGTAGAGTTGATTCATGTTTCCGGGCTGTTTTTTGAGTTAGATTAGTTGTGTATTAAGGGTACAATTGATCCTAAGTGTTTGGGGAAAGAACTAGGGAAGATTTGAGGATTTAGAGATGAAAACGGAGAAGAAAAATCGAGAAAATCGGGGCTAGGGCGCCGCGCCAGCCAGCGCGCCCAACAGACTTCTCTGAAGTTTGGGGCCTGGCACCCCGCGCCTCTCAGAGCGTCATGGACGCCAGTTCTCCCCATTTGTCCCCCACCTTTTAGTACTTGTTCCTTAACATGTATCTATGTTTCTAAGTTGATTCTAACACTCTAAGGTACATCTAAACATCATGAAATCATCCATAAACATGAGATCATGAGCCTTGAATCCATAATCCAATTCAAGGAAAGTTAAGATCAAAGTCAAAGAAGTTAAAAGTCAAGTCTAAAAGTTAAGAAACAAGTTAAAGCAAAGTTTCTTAAAGTTTTCAAGAGTCTTTATTAAACATTTTAACTTTGTTTTAAGGCTCAAGTTTCAAGTAAAGCAAAGAGTAAGAGTTGAGTTCATTTCTCAAAAGTTATTAGGGAACTATGTATTCCCAAAGAAGTTTATAAATGTTTTCACATTTGAGCAAAGAAAAGGGAACATCGATTCCAAAAGAGCCTTTGGGCTAAGCTTTAAGCAATTATCTCAAACTAAAGAAAGAGGTGTTTAAAACACATATGAGCTAAAGTATATTTTGGGAGTAGTATTGAGCACCGAATTGGGGATGCGAGTTCATATTAACTTAAATCTCCATAAGAACCATGTGGCCAACATGGGATTTAACGGGTCATACTTTTTAGATGATCACGTAAGTTAAGCTAGTAGATCCACTAAGTTAAGTAAGGTCATATATCAAGGCAAGGTATATGATGGTCCTTGGGTAACGTGAGGTAAAACGTTGTATCATCACTAGGGCTCATAGTGGTGGTTGTCGGTTAAAGAATCTCCCACTAAAGTTATATTACTTTTATATATAAGTAAAGTTGAGTTTATTATTACTTATCTTTAACGAACTAAGTTGTTTACACTGTTTTACAAGCTTTATATATATTGCATGTGTCTTATTGCTTTATATTGAGTTCAGTTATTCATGAGTTAAACAGAGCCAATGTAAGTGTTCCTTTGTACTCCTTTCAAGCTCAAGTTGTGGTTTAGCATGCCAACTCGCATACTCGTACATTCAATGTAATTATGC